CTTAGCGCTATCTCTTAATTACCTTACCATACCTTCTCCCTCGTTGTCTACGCTGCACTCTGACCCAGCAGTAAGGTCTACACCTCAGCCGAAGGGAATGAGAATTACTTAACCACTAAGGTCACCTTATCCATCTCCCATACCCCCTCATCCATCTCCCACACTACCTCATCCATCTCCCACACTACCTCATCCATCTCCCACACCCTCATCAACGTCCACAAATCCTGGCAACTTAATATTCTCTGGTCACCTGGTACAATTAGGCCAATAAACTGTGGGAATAATCAACACGGTCACAATATATGGGAGCGCTGGTGCATGCAGGACCAGGCCCACGCTGCTGTGTACACTACGCCTCCCACACGCCAAATATTACGATTTGCATATACAAATATGGAAGCCAATAGCTACAGTGTGGTAGGAAAGATAAGACTGCTACCCCTACCGCCAACACCACGGTAGGGGTAGCATCACTACCCTATAGTTTCCCCAAGGCCAAAAACTGTTGTACTAAAAATGTTAGCGGTCACGAAATTGTCGTTATGTCCCGCTTTCCTCGGTTAGATTAGGTTCGGGCAATTTAGTACATTCGTTTAGCGACGTTGTGAACGCTTGAAAGAACGGGCTAGTTCCATGATGAGAGGACAGAACTTTTATATTTGGAAACTGCTGATTACTGTTGAGCGATGATGAGTTTGAGGTAGTGTACGGTGGTTGAGCCTCATGTACAGGTACCGTGAAATAAGGATAAATTATAGTAAGTAATATAGTATTAGAAGAGCATGTTGACCAGACCACACACTAGAAATTGAAGGGACGACGACGTTTCGGTCCGTCCTGGACCATTCTCAAGTCGATTGTGAGAACTCAAGACAATCGACTTGAGAATGGTCCAGGACGGACCGAAACGTCGTCGTCCCTTCAATTTCTAGTGTGTGGTCTGGTCAACATACTTCAGCCACGTTATTGTGACTCATCGCTTGCATTAGAAGAGCAGAGCGAAAACATACGTGTTTGCTTTTTGTGATTAGCACTGTCTGCGAGAATTGAAGCCTAGTCAATTATCAACGTACAGGGTGCAGAATCTTCCGTTTTCTCTACTTTCAACCTATATTTTGGCTATTTTAAGTTCTGTATGGGTAGATAATTTATTTCCAAATAAAGATCGTTAAAGAAAGTGGTTTATATGTTTGGTGTTAGCTTGTTTGCTGACATCAGTGTGTTTTATTTGGTTTATTAATTACTATAATATTTAGGGTGTGGGTTGTGGTTTAAAGAAAATTAAGAATGTTATAGAAGCATGTTTCTCAATTTCTTGGAAAGATTTCTCTGAAGGTGACAGTGAGAATGTGAGAAGGTGACTTTGATACTTGAGAACAACTTATTTCAAACGTAGTTTGAAGATGTTAACCAACACCTTCAAACTAACCTCGGTCTGACTTGACCACACACAGCCCGGCTGCAACCAACCGTCTTGTACTACTGCCGACTGGTAGCTGGTAGCTTTGTTGTGTGATCACTTATCAGTTGCTAAACTTGCTAAATATTAACTCCCTCCACACATTCTCTTGTGTCAACTACATTTACAAAACCCTGTTCTTAAATGCAAACCATGCTCTGAAACTCTCCCTGGACAGATGTAATAGGACCCATTATCACCACACCAGAAATAAATATCTCTTTGATATCCCCAGGGTCAAACTTAATCTGTGTAAACACTCTATGCAAATTAAGGGACCTAGTCTATGGAACTCACTCCCTAGTGAATTGAAAAACTGTAAAACTTTTGCCTTATTTAAAAGCAAAACCAAAAAGTACCTAACTTCATCTATTTAGTTTCCTACACTGAGCTTTAAATTTGCTCTGTACCTAGTGTTACCCAATCTCCTAATTTTGATGTAATATCAAACAACCTTATCATTGTGTTCATTGCTGTCTTCTTTTATGTGCTAGCCATATGCTGTATTGTGACTACCAATTTTTGTCAACTACCATTTTAAGCTGTCATTGCAACCAATCATAGCTACCTATGTGCTTTAATATACTGTACCTATAATTTTCTCTCATCTTTTTTTTTCATTCCATGTAATCTGTTATCATTTTTTTGTCTATAAATTTTGCAAGTATTTACCTCCTTAAAATTTTCTTAGATTAAGGACCTGCCCGAAACGCTGCGCGTGCTAGTGGCTTTACAAGACTGTAATTACCATATTTGTATCCTCACATTCCTTATGTACATTCTTGTATATGCATAAATAAATAAATAAATAAATAAAAGTGATAGGGACAGTCACTCAACGCACGTGATGCGGACACATCCACTTAACGCACGTGATGCAGAAACATCCACTCAACGCACGTGATGCAGAAACATCCACTCAACGCACGTGATGCAGAAACATCCACTCAACGCACGTGATGCAGGAACATCCTCTGTGCGCACGTGATGCAGGAACATCCTCTGTGCGCACGTGATGCAGGAACATCCTCTGTGCGCACGTGATGCAGGAACATCCTCTGTGCGCACGTGATGCAGGAACATCCTCTGTGCGCACGTGATGCAGGAACATCCTCTGTGCGCACGTGATGCAGGAACATCCTCTGTGCGCACGTGATGCAGGAACATCCTCTGTGCGCACGTGATGCAGGAACATCCTCTGTGCGCACGTGATGCAGGAACATCCTCTGTGCGCACGTGATGCAAGAAAATCCATTCAATACAGACTTCACCTTCTAAAAGGACATTTCTTTACCAAGTACAATGCAGAGCGACAAGAAAATATTTCCAGAACTAAGTCAACACACACACGGCTGAGGGCCACAGCACTAACAACGCACCAAACCAGACATGACAGGGCGGGTCTCATCCAAACCTGTAAAATACTGATCAGTTTGGAGAATGTTGATTCAGACAACTTCTTTAAAAGGTCAGATGTAGTAGAAATAAGAAGCAATGGTTTCAGGTTTGTCAAACAGCAATGTACGCGATACAGGTCTAAAAGTATATATATATATATACAGTCTTCCTGTCTCCGACAAAATGAACGAAGTATATGCCTAGTACAATTGGTCAGCTAGCCAGTCAGCTAGTGGCTTTAATTACTTTCCCGCTTAATGAACCAAACACCAGACCAATACCTCACTAGATTTATATAATGTCTTAAAACATGTCCGCACCTCTGCTACAAATTCTCAAAATATACTTTAATTATTAGTTTTAAGTAATCTCTAAGATAGACTGTACTTATTTTATCTTGCAAATCACCGCATATTCTCAATGTATACCTCAACTAATTTGCTAACTTAATTCATTGCCCGTATGCTATGAGTGTTAATGTTTTGCGAAAGTGTGACATTCACACATTAAATTTGTTAAAAACTCATTGTGATTTCGAGACATTTGGGCTGGACGATGAAGCGACGGCCTCGCTTCATAAGTGATTGTAACCTGTCCACCGCTGCCCACTGAAGGGGGCGGGGCAGTGTACAGGACGAACAATTGTGACACAGCTCTCCATATATGTCAGTTGCTTAATTTAGAAACTGTACTTGTGGTCGGTCTCGAGCCCATTGTTGATGTGAAGATGTGCATTGAATTTTGTAACTAGCTCATAAAGGTTGTAACTTGCTTAGCTAAATGAATTGTGGGGTTCAGTCCCTGAGCCCATTATGCGCCTCTGTAACCCTTTCCACTACCGCCCACAAGATGGGTATGGGGTACATAATATATTAACTATAAACCTTCGCTTCAGAAAATCTTGCGATAGTCGCTGAGATTATGTACCTAACTCTGCTCTCATCTCACTATATTATGCACTAATCTATCCCTATCTTAATTATGGTATCTGTGCATGGGGTTTAACCACTGCAAATCACCTCAAGTCCATCATCACCCAGCAAAACTCTGCTATCAGAATAATAACAAATTCTGGTTTCAGACAACACTCAGCCCCCTTGTTTAAATCCACAAACATGCTAAACATAAACTCCCTTCATACATTCTCTTGTGTCAACTACATTTACAAAACCCTGTTCTTAAATGCAAACCATGCTCTGAAACTCTTCCTGGACAGATGTAATAGGGCCCATAATCACCACACCAGAAATATATATCTCTTTGATATCCCCAGAGTCAAACTTAATCTGTGTAAACACTTTATGCAAATAAAGGGTCCTAGTCTATGGAACTCACTCCATAATGAATTGAAAAGCTGTTCAACTTTTGCGTCATTCAAAAACAAAACTAAAAAGTACCTAATTTCATCTTCATAGTTTCCTACCTCGTTGCTATAAAATTGCACTGTATCTAGTGCTACCCAATCTCCCAATCTTTATGTACCTAATCCAAACAACTTTACCATTGTGATCATTGCTGTCTTCTTATATGCGCTATCAATTTGCTGTATGGTGCCTATTAATCTTGTCTAAATTACCAATCAAGCTGTCACTGCAATCAATCAGAGCTACCAATGTGCTTTAATATACTTACTAATCTCTCCCATCTCATTTTTTTCTTGCAATGTATCTGTTATCATTTTATTAATTCTGCATGAATATTTATTTTATTCATTAATATTATTTATTATTTATTAATTAATTTATTAATATTAGATATTTTTTTCTTTCTCGAAATTCGTTTCATGCAGGTCGGCGTTCAATCCTCGACCATCCAAGTGGTTGGGCACAATTCCTTCTCAAATCCTTATCTTTATAGTATTTCTTCCAAGTGCTCTAGTCGCAATGGTTTAGCGCGTTCTCCTCTTAACTACCCTACCTACATGCGAACGAGTTCCAAATGTTCAGTTAGCCCTGAATATCTGGCTGGTTCGTTCTCCTTTACTAGTGTCAAAACAAGTTGGTATTAGATTAATATATATTTTTTATATTTTACATGTTATATCAGTTTTGTACGTAATTAAAAAATTATTTACTGAAATATCAAATGTTATTTTATATGTAATTAGTTTTCATTTTAGCAGATAAGGAAAACTGCGGCATTAGACACTCGTGTGACTCAAGTGTGTGAATATGTAAACATGGCCGACGACAATAATTCACACGAATTACATGAAAGTGTCTTTAATGGTGATATAAGAAGAGTGTCAGCTCTAATACGAACTTACGATGTTTCCAAAAAAGATAAGCATGGTAAGAGGCAGAGGCTGTGAGCATGAGCCGTGGAGGAGTGAGGAGCCAGCAGGGACTAGTGTTGGCGTCGTCTTCCTCCCACTGGAAACACAAAATTTCTTTGTGTTTTTAAGTGTATCACTAAATTACTGTGTTGCTTGGCATGTGGTAATATGCCTTTGCGTTCGTCATGACGATATTATTCATGGTATTTGGGTATTTCTATGTTTCAACTTAAGAGTTCTGTGTATGCGTGCATAGTAAGTACCATAGGACACTAAAAGTATTTAAAAAAAAGAATGCGTTTGATAGATTCATCGTACACATCTGAGTCCCGATCTTGTTGAAACTCTAGTCATTTGCATTGAAAATGCATTAGAAAAGATGCTGGACCGACTCCTAACTAAATTCTTTACACAAGTAAACCAACCCATCCCCGAGGTTGACCCAACAGACACCCCATCGACATCTACTGACATCTACAGATAATGACATCTGCCCTATCACAGCTTCTACTACTGGATACATATTATTTGAACTAATGATGGAAGAACTCTTAAATAACTCCTTAGCTCGCCTTACCAAAGTCGTTCCCCAGGCTGACTGGCCACAAACCCCAATCACCGGCACCAAGAGTAAGACACCCCCAGCTGTACAAACCTCCCAACGACCTGGTACTTTGACTGAAAAACCACATAAACCACACACTCCCACGACACATCCTCCCACCACTCCCAGATATTCAACATGGTGTACTACTGGCATGTCAAAGAAGATGGATGTAATTACGTCCCAAATGTAAAAATCTACATACCATGTATATAAAAACCCGCTTGGATGCGAATGTAACGTTGTGTGAAAATTTCAAAGCAATCGGTGAAGAACTTTCGGAGATTAGCGATTTTGAACGAACGAACATTTACAGTTTTATTTATATAGATTATTTATTATTATTTGTATTATACATTGGGGCTTGTTGAGCTTGAAGCTTTTACCCCTTGTCTGAGTTACATTGGACCTTTTAAAGAAGTGGTCCATATTAAGATTATCCAATTTGTCCAGTATTTTAAAGGTCTTGATGAGATCATCCGTGTCATGTTTGGTTTGTAGTGTTGTTAGTCATGAGGCCGTCAGCCGCTCCTGGTATACAAGTTGAATTAATTCAGAGATGATTTTTGTTGATCTGTGTTGAATGTTCTCCCAAGTAGATATATCCTTTTGAAGGTTAGGTCTCCATGCTTGGATACAGTGTTCCAGATGGGGTGGGGGGTGGGGGGGGGTACACCAGAGATTTGTACAGATGAATAATCACTTTATTTCCCTTAAAGTTAAAAGGGTCTTTTGATTATTCCTTAGGCTTGGTTGCCTTCCATGTTACCGCTGTTCCTGCTTATTGAACATATTCATCTTCATCAATGTAGTGTTGGGTCATGTTGTTAATATGATATTTATGATATGCATTGTTATGCCCTATATGCAAGTTTTTGTATTTTTTAATAGTGAAAAGTATTTGCTAATTTTCTGAACATTTATGGAATTCATGGCATGTGTAAATTTGAGAATGTGGTTTTTAATATTCTCACTTATGTCATTGATGAACATATAAAAAAGGGTTGGCCCCAGGATGGAACTTTGCCATAATCCACTCAGAACATTTTTCTGGTCAGATTCATTTCCATTTTGGATAATCCTTTGCTTGGTTTTAACCATTGTTTTATCCACTCTAGTATTTTGCTAGTTATAGTAATCCATGTGCTTGCAATGTTCTTGCCAATCTTTCATGTATTTTATCAAAAGCTTTAGAGAATTCCATGTACACAACATCTACTGAAACTTCTTTGAACAGCAGGATTTTTGTTTACAAAAATGTGGGTAGGTTGGTTAGGCAGGATTTATATTTAACAAAGCATTGCTGTCTTCATTTTACAGTAATATGAAGTAGTACACTGTGAGATGGTGAATGATTCATTCTTTCCTTTAGAATACTTTGCATGAGTTGGCAGATATGTGAAGTTAGGCTGGTTGATACCTGCTGATTGGTCAGTAGTTTTCTGCTGAACATTTTTTGCCTTTTTTTAAAGTGAGGCGACAATTGCATATTTCCAATCTAGGGGAACTGTCCCTTGGTCCAGAGATTTTATTAATAGGAGTTTTAGTGGTAGACATTTTCTGGGGGAACCCTGTCGGCTCCCTGGAGCTATCCAGGTTGAATGGATATGTATAACTTTCTGACATCAATCAATGTGCTTGGAGTTCTTATCCAATGGGGACCACGAGCCAGAACCTGACCTCCTCAGAAAGGCACGAGGAGCAATGGCCTATAGAAACCCCCCCTGTGGTTCAGATTAGGCAAAATTGTAATTAATTTTGTCAATAAAGATGTTAATAATAATAAGCAAACGAGCACGACGTCATCATGTTGCTGCGCCGCCGTCTGCGCAACCCCCCCCCCCTCCCTGGGAGGGGGAAGGGGGACCCCCACACCATCGCGCCAGCAACCCAACCTGCAGTTCTTGGCTGATGCGATTCTAGGAAGGGCTTATGCCTCTGGCTCCGGAATTTTTCTCTCGGTTCTGTGTCTAGTGACGTGGGCTGTCTCTCTAGGTGGTGTGTGAGCCAGGAGTAGTATTCCACGGTACTCGGGCTGCATGCGCCTAGGGCTACCTTCCTTAGGTGCCGTGTAAGTACTGCCCTTGGGGCTTGGGGTCACCTTCCACAAGTCACCTTGGGATCTGCCTCTGCTGTGCCTTTTACTGCTCGTTACTTGGCTGCCCTTGGGGTCTGCTGGGGTTTTCTTGCCCTTGTGTGTTCCTGGGTAGGGGTAGTTTTTCGTCACTGGTAGGGGGCGCGAGGTACTGACAGTTAGTTTTCACCAATTATAGCGGCAGGCTCTATTCTGCCTGGGTACATTGTCCTTTTGTGGGGTTTTTCTTCTGTTTTTGTTTTCTGTCTAGTGGGGGGGGGGGGGGGGTCTGCCCGCATGATTCCTCTTAGCTGTTGGGGGTGTATATATATATACTGTGGTTGGTGGTATCCCTCATTTGGCCCCTATGAGTGGACACATCCCTGGGGGTTCAGTTTTTAGCAGTTTGTTTGGTAGATTTGGTCACCGGTTTGCAGTACCCTGCCTGGGCTTCCCTTAGCATGTTAAAATGGCTAAAGGCCCTGGGAAACCCCGCGGGGGCTCTGTAGTCCGGTGGATGTGACCCTTGAGTTCCCTCTCGCTTCTTGCGAGTTTAGAGGTTACTCTGTCCCCTTGTCTCTGGGTGACACTCACTGGTTGTGTCTCTGCCATGCTACCTGTTGAGTCGGTGATTCTTTTGACCGAGAGTCGTGCGACATTGTTGTCTGTACATGCTCCAGTTCACCCGTGCTACTCAACATATGTGGGTGCAGCCAGCTGCTGCGTTGCATGCTCAGTTTGGTTGGTGCAGCGTGCTCGGTGGGTTGCGGCCCCAGATGCCCCGAAACTGCCCCGTTTTGGTTATAAGGGTCCGGACTTCAGGGGTAGGAGTCGCTTCGGCTCTGGTTCCATCCGCCTTTCCTCATCCTTCCCCGTCTGTTGTGCATATGTTCCTCCCTCCTTGCCTCTGGCTTTGAAACGTCTGCGAGTTTCGGAGTTGGGGCTGGGTTTGGTTGGGTTGAGATTCAGGCAGTCTTGGGGGTTTCCTCTTCTGGGGTGGCGGCGGAGGCATTCAAGTCTGTTCCTCCAGCCGTAATGTATGGGTCTGACCAGTAGGCACTCTTCCTTAGTGTTTGTACAGCTGCCCCGGCTTTTTCTTGTGACGCCGAAGCTTTGTGGGGACGACTCGGCCCCGGATCCTGCCGTGGGGGTTCTTGGGGTTGGGGGAGGGGTTGACTGGGAAGCCTTGGCCCCGTTCGCTCCGCTTGGGTTTTGTGGCCTCGGAGCGGGGCTTGCAGTTCTTCAGTGAGGGTTTTTCCTTCCCCCTCTGCTTCCGAGTTGGTTTGTGTCTGCCCCTCCCTGGGTTCGGTTCCGTGTCTCTTCGGGTCTGTCGGTTCCGTCCTTCCTGTGGGTGCTTTTCATTGCTTCTTACCCTTTTTCTCTTGGGCATGTACTTTTCTCCATGTTGCACTCATGTTCCCTTCGTATCGGGTTTCCTGCATGGCCCTTGGTCTAGGGTGCCATTGGGCCCATTTGTGCCTCCGTGCTTTTGTGCTTGGCTTTTGTGCACAAATGGGCCCAACAATCTTGTCACAATCTTGCCCACTGTGAAAAGGCCTGCTGCATTCTTAGCTCTTGCCTAACATCTGAGAATCTCAAAGAATCTTACAGCCTTTAATATATCTTGCTGTGTTCTATTTTTGTAACAAATTCTTTTGTATAATAAAGCTTAAAATATGTGGGGTGGTAAGTGAAAACAACATTAAGGAGCACACAAACATAAGTGCTTCAAAACAAGTGACTGCTTAAAGAAAATTAGGCACTCCTAAGTAAACAAGGCAAGCCATAATACACCTGACTATCACCAGATGGCAGCCCAGGTCAGCTGGAATTTTGAAACCACCTGCCATCTCACTCTTTTGCATAGTGCCATTCTCTGTTGGGCCTCTATAGTGACCATGATGTTCTTTATATACTAATGTGAAACTTGCTTGCAATAATATGCAAACAATTAATGATACAGTATACAGAATTGTTTTGATAAACTTTCATTTATAAATGTTAGAACTATCATTCATGCAATCTCTTACATTTTCAGGAAATACAGCACTTCACCTGGCTGTAATGCTAGGACATAAAGGTAATAGATGTTTTTGTTGGTTTGTGTAGATAAAAGTGCTTTTACTTTACAAAGTGTGCTCAATTGTGTGGTCATATTTCATTCCGCTCTTAGAAGTAAATACTGTACTGCACTGTATGCATGAAGCATCAGTTTATCATTACTTTTAATACACAAGTTCACAATGTGACTTTTTATTTCATATTGTTTATCATATTTTTAAATGTGCTGGTAATAATGATGTATCCAGATGTGAAAGTTATTAAATAAACTTCCATTGTTATATTTTTATAACAAAGTTTCTTATTATACTGCATACCTCTAAGCCGGCTTAGAGGTATGCAGTATGCCTATTTTTAACAGCCTATTTTTGCCTATTAAAATAGGCAAAAATAAAAAAAAGATTTAATATAATATATTAAAAAAAAAAAAAAATTATATATATAATATAATTTTTTTTTTTTTTTTTTTTTTTTTTTTTTTTTTTTTTTTTTTTTTTTTTTACAAAAAAAGGGAAGGGAGTACCACCTCTGGCTGGAAGAAGGGGGACCCATAGCCTCGGAGGAAACCACACATAATGCAGTGGAGGGAATGTAGGTCCCCTCCAATACAGTTTCTGTGTGCTTTCCTCCTAAATCAAGCATTAAATGCAATGAAATACGTTTTCTGATGGGCCCTCAGTAGCTTTCCATCCTCACCCAGTTTCCTTCTTCCCTGTTTGGTGTTGGGGCTATTATGTTTGGGCAACTTGTGAGTGAGGTGGGAGGCTGGCCAAGACTCCAGGTCACCTGGGTGCAGCCTTCAAGTATTGTACAGTGACACCTCAGCTTACGAATGCCCTTCTTTACGAACTTTCGGGTTATGAGCCAATTTCTTCGTAATATCCGAATCTGGTTATGAACTTTGCCTCGAGTAACGTAGATTATTGATACGCATATGGCCGACCTAGTGCGTGGGGTCACAGCAAGTTGACACCCCATGGCACGGGGTCTCAGTATACCAATGCCTCCCACCTAGTGACAATTGCGCTTCATTTGTTTATGAAGAATTTCAATGTTTTTATTTTTTTTATTTTTGGGTATTTGAACATAAAAGTTATTATTATATATCTTGCCATGGGTCCCATGAAAGCTAGTGGTAAGGTTCAGTCCAAGAAAACAGATGTAAGGATGACCGTAGAGGAAAAACAAGAGATCATTTGTAAACATGAAAATGGTACACGGGTTGTTGAACTAGCTAGGCAGTACAACAAATCTATGTCAATGATATGCACTGTAATTGTTAAGAAAATGGACATTACGAATGCTAAAGTGGCAAAAAGTGTATCAACAATCACAAAACAAAGAACACAAGCACTTGAAGATGTTGAAAAGTTATTAATTTGGATACACAACAAGGTGTTAGGAGGTGATAGCGTTTCAGAGGCCATCATTTGTGAGAAAGCAAGGCAGTTGCATGAAGACCATTTAAAAAAAAACCTGGAACAAGTGATGCAAATACGAAAGAGTTTAAGGCATGCAGGGGATGGTTTAAGAAATTTAGAAAAAGAAGTGGCATTGACAGTGTTGTGAGAGTTATCTTGTGTGTTGTGAGTTGGTGGAGGAACACAGCGAAGAACTGACCAGAAGAACTCCTAGCCCTTCACAATGAGCAGCAACAAGAAACAGCTGCAGAAATTTCTTCAGGGGAGGAGGAGGCAGTACAGAATGTCCCTTTTTCAACAATTAAGAGGTGATGTAGACTGTAGGAAGAAATGCAGACTTTTGTTGAAACGACTCACCCAGAGCAATCTGTAGTAGGCCGTTGCTTTAACCTTTTTAATGACACTGTGATGCCTTACTACAGACAAGTGTTACAACGTAAGAAAGAAACAAGCCTTTATGGATAGATTTTTACCTAGAAAAACAAGCAGTGAGCCACATGCAGGTTCTTGAGGTATGCAGGCAAAACAAGCCAATGTGTGTACCCCAGAGAAGTCATCACTGCCTGATGTTATAATGGAAGGGGACTCCCCTTCCAAACACTAACACCTCTCCTTCTCCCTCCCTCCCTCACCATCTTCCATATGCCAACAAGAGTCATCAATAAAGGTAAGTAATAACTTGTACATACTTTAGTACTAAAGGTTTGGGTGAATTAGGTATAAAATTTACTGTGAAGTTAATATTTTTGGAAGTGTGGAATGGATTAATTAAATTTACATTATTTCTTATGGGAAAATTTGTTTTGGTTTATGAATTTTTGAGTTATGAACCATCTCTGGGAACGGATTAAATTCGTAAGCTGAGGTACCACTGTAATTGAATGTTTGGTTGTGCCTGTCATTTCTGATTGATTTTTCTGAATTCTGCATTGATTGGTGATTTCTGTGCTCCCCCTTGCCTCATAAAGAAAACCATATTCAGGCCCTGTCTTCTGGTATGCAAGGGTGGGTCACAGAGGCCTAGTATGATTTCCTTAGGATTAACAGGACAAGCACTTATATTCAGGAAGCTACTGAAGACCCGCCAGAAAAGGGCAATTCATTACATTCAACACATTGTTTTTAAGAGGTAAGATTTTGAAAGGAAACTTTTGAAAAGATTATTAGAGCAGTTTCTTTAAAGTAAATTGTTTGATTACTGAAGTTAATCACTGACTTATGTTTAATTCTGCAGAATGTATACATCTCCTGTTGGCACATGGAGCCCCAGTAAAGGTCAAGAATTGCAATGGGTGGAGTCCACTTGCAGAAGCAATCAGTTTTGGCGACAGACAAACCAGTAAGTATAATACTGTATATTAACGTGCACATATTATAATACTGTACATCTAGAAATCCTCTGGAGCAATACCTCATGCTTTTTACAGGATTATTTCTGAGGAAAGCCACACAGTTTCTCCCTGATCCAAAGACCTGACTCACCCAGGATAGGCTAAGTTAAGCCAGGCAGCTGTTGATAACAACCTTCAGTGTGACAGCAATCTTTGGAAATGCTTTCACCAGTTGATTATGGAAAAAAGAGACTAGAAATTACCCACTCAGCTAAGAATAGCTGCCAGAAGGAATATTTCATTAAACTTAAAAGAGAAAAACTTTGATAGCTTTACAAAGAATGTCAGAACTCTGATAACTACTACAGTATAACGTTAGATCACCTGGCCATTACTTGGTAAAAGAGTAAGTGGTAACAGCCTATCAGACCACAAGGTTGCTGAAAGCTGGTTGCCTAATATTTAGCCTGGCTTCTGCCCTGTCATTGCCTGCTTGTATGATACCCACTTTTCACTTAAGTTTTCTTTGGTTTGTTTTAAATTTTAGTTTATGCTGTGTGTCCATCTTCCTTCTTTGGGTCTCACCTGATAATATTGTGTGATTTCATGTTTCTTTTATTTTGGATATAGATGGCCTTAGCCTGTATCGCTGGTGACACACTGTTCTTTCAGTTATTCTGATTTTGATTTAGAAGCCTTATTTTAAATTATTTATTCATATCATTGCAGTTGTGGCTAAAGTTGTGCCTCTTGGGTTACCATCCTTTTGGGTAGTGAGTGGAACTTGCTCTATATTGCAAGGCCTACCGATGGAGAGTTGAAATAGCTGTATGCTTGTGTTGATACTGCTCCTGGTTCCTGTGCACTTTGGTGCCTTGTACCTTAGAATGGGGCATGCTTGAGTTGCTTTTTCTGTATTTCTTACATGAAAATGTGCTTGTGATTTGTCTTTATCTTCCCTAGCACCTGGTATGCCTGCCTGCCTGCTTGTGACAGTCCTAGTAGCTTGAATGTCCCGTTGTCTCTAAAAGATGTGTTTGCCTCATTTTCTCTCTTGGTTAGAGAGAAACATTGAATTGAAAACAATTGAAAATATGGATAGGTTTTCTCCCTATGAATGAATTTCAAACCCCCTATTCTTGTTAAAAATGACAAAAATAGACAAACGAGTGGACAGAACTCCCCAAATGAAAACGAGCAAACAAGCATGACGTCACACGAGCCGCGCCACATGTCTGCGCAGCTACCCCCTCCCCGGGAGGGGGAAGGGGGAGCCCCAGACCCCCGCGCCGGTGATCCACCCTGCAGTTCTGAGGTTGGATTTCAAAATACGCAAAAACCGCCGACCAAAGGGAGGGAGGGTTTCTTGGCTCCCCCCAGAAAACCAGCAATGAATGTAATGAAATGCCATTTTCTGGGTGAGACCCGGAGAGGGGGTTGCACAAACAGCAGTGCAGCAACGTGATGACGTTATGCTAGTTGGTAGTTTTCATTTTAGGAGTTCTGTCCAATCATTCGGCTTTGAGCAGCAATATTTTCACCATAATAAGGGTTTGTTTTGGGGCGCCTACCTTTCTGGGTGCCAGACCCAGTCAATGGCAGACATAGAATGCTACCAACCATATGGGGGTTTCTTTATGCTGTTGCGCCTCATGCCTCTCTGAGGGGGCCGGGTTCTGGCTCGTAGTCCCCGGTAAGTAAGAACTCCATGCACGTTGACTGATGCCAGATAGCTAATATATATACATATCAGACTGGATAGCTCTGGGGAGCCTCTGGGTCTCACCCAGAAAATGGCATTTCATTATATTCAATGCTGTTTTTTTTTTCATTGGGTGATGCATCTAAACACCATGAAAGTGAGAAATGGGGGTAATGATGAGTTAATATTATTATTCATTTACAGTTATTTTCTTTCAGGTTAGTTTCTTGTTATACGTTTATTATATGATTTGCAATCATCTAATTAATGTTTATTGTTTTTCAGTTTCAGTGTTATTACGAAAATTAAAACTGCAGTCCCGAGAACACATGGAAATGCGGCGACCTGATTTAGTGCGAGCACTTGCACAGATGGGGGATTTTTATATGGAATTAAAATGGGATTTTCAAAGTTGGGGTATGTAAAATTTATCTATTATACACAGAAGACTTTTCATTTTGCTCATAAAGTGTTACATTAAAAAGTCATATTTGTTAATAATATTTTTATATAATGAAGAGCTACCATTGAATCTTGCTTATTATTTTTAATATTATATTACAGTACCACTTGTGTCCAGAATGCTTCCGTCCGATACTTGTAAGATTCACAAAAAGGGAGCGTCTATCCGCTTAGACACGACGCTGGTGGACTTTAATGATATGCGCTGGGAGAGAGGAGACATTAGCTTTCTATTTTCTGGGAGCTCAAAATCGTCACATTCTCTGACAGTGCTTGACAACAAATTGAAAGTCTATCAGGGAGTGAGACATGAGGTTAGTACTTATTTGGCATTTGATTACATGAGTTTCATATAGTGTTTTCCATTAGATAATTTGCAGATACATTGAGGAGGGCGCAGCCCAAGGAAAAGTTGTATGTCTATTGTTATTAGGCTGTTAGATAAGGGTCTGGAAAATTATTGCAAACATTGTTCCATGAGAAAAATCTTTGGGAAACAATGAAGGAGTGTTAAATGTGCACAGAAGGCATCACCCCTCATTATTATTATCAGGTTTCCAAATTTTATTGTGTTGGAAAGTATTAGGTTTGAAGAAACCTGTTACCAGTCTCCGTGGTGTGGTAAGATGCTCACCTGGCGTTCCGCGAGCACTTTGTCATGGGTTCATATCTTGGCCGGAGAGGATTTACTAGGCACAAATCCTTAACTGTAGCCTCTGTTTAACTCAACAGTAAAATGGGTACGTGATTGTAAAAACGATTCTTTGTGAGGGTCGTATTCCAGGGAACATAGGATTAAGGACTTGCCCAAAACGCTACGCGAACTAATGGCTGTACAAAAATGTAACAACGCTTGTATATATCTTAAAAAAAAAAAAAAAAGCAGAGGAGCAAGAAAGGAAAACCAAGCTAAAGATATTTAAAAATGGTTACTTCTCATTCACCATATCATTATTACTTTTCATTCATCATATCTTATACTCCACATCCTTCTAAGATTGTTAACTTGTATTCAATCAATTTAATATTTTTCTCATGGATACCATTTCAGTATCAGGTTTCCATACACAAGGGTAGGAGCCAGCAACCATTATTTATTACACACTAAGTTATAACTGAAATTATTGGCTCAAAAGGTGCTAATTCTTTTTGTGTACAATAAAATATTGATCTGTATTCTGTAAAAATATGTAATGAAACAATTCTAATTAGTAGATGAAGGCTACCACGTGTGAATTATTTCCGTTTACAGGAAACAGAAGCAGAAATAGAGGATGAGGTGGACATCCTTATGAGTTCTGACATTGTGGCTGCACAGATGTCTACTAAACAAATAACATTCTCAAGAGCACAGACAGGCTGGATTTTCAGAGCAGATAAAAAGGTATGATTACTTAACTCTTTCATATCCCCGGTGTGCGCGCCCCCAGCCTTCCTCAGTGTGTGTTGGGCGTTTCTCTTCAGTGTGCGGCCACACTGTGTATACTCCTCTCAGTTTTCTCACCTCAATTTTTGTGTTATGTCGTTCATTTTGGTATCATAGTTTTCGCAATAGAATTCCCTACAGGGATATATACATATAAGGTCCAAAAGCCTTGCATGCCACCCACACCAAACCCATAAATCGGCCGAGCGTTACCCATGAGCTCGCAAGAGCAGTAAAATGTGTATTCTCTTTTCAGTTTTCTCACCTCAATTCTCGTGCTACATCGTTCCTTTTGGTATCAGCGTGTTAGCAATAAAATTCCCTACAGGGGTATATGCATGTAAGGTCCAAAAGCCCGGCGTGACCCCCCATCCCCACAGCAAAGCCGAAAGTCGACCAAGCACTACCCATGAGCAAGCACCAATTGGCACACCCACAACCTAATGTGTATACTCTTTTCGGTTTGATAACATCAATTTTTGTGTTATGTCATCCATTTCGGTATCAAATTGTTAGCAATCTAAAGGCACGCATTTTAAAACTAGTCCCATAATAATAATAAAAAATAAATGGAATTTTAACAAATATTTTAATTTTGGACACATCATCATACAAGTATTTATAATCTTTGCAGTGTTCTGACCTCAATTGTTGGGCTACGTCGTTCATTATAGAATCAAATTGTTCACAATCTAAAGGCGCACATTTTAAAACTAGTCTCATAATAATCGAACAATAAATGGAATTTTAACAAATATTTTAATTTTGGACGCAAAATGCGTCCCTGGTGGACATCCGTAAGATTATTAACCCTTAAGCTGCTCAGGGGCCTTAACTACTGCACTGCTCTGCATTAACCCTTGGGCCTGGCAACCCTCCCTCCCTCCCTCCAGTTGGCGGTTTTTCTTTTTCAGGGTTTTTGACATCCAGCCTCAGAACTGCGGATGGATATCCAGCGTGAGGGTCTGGGGCTCCCCCCAGACCCTTTTTCCCTGCACAAGGGGGGGGGGGTTGCGCAGACAGTGACATGGTGATGTCATGCTCGTTTGCTCGTTTTCACTTGGGAGTTCTGTCCACTAGTTTGGCTTTCTGTAGCAATATTTTAACCAGAATAGGGGCTTGTTTTGGGGCACTTGCCTTTCTGGGTGCCTGATCCGGTTGATGGCAGACATGAAATGCTTCCAACCACACAGGTGTTTCCATAGGCCATTGCTCCTCGTGCCTCTGAGAGGGCCAGGTTCTCGCTCGTGGTCCCCGGTAGGCCTAAGAACTCCATTCACATGACTGATGCCAAAGTCTAATATATCCATATAAGCCTGGATAGCTCCAGGGAGCCTCTGGGCCTCACCCAGAAAATGGTGTTTCATTACATTCAACGCTGGTTTTTTGTTGGCCCTCAGACTCTGGGGGTTGGGTTGGTGAGCTTCGTACTCTCCTCCGTTGCCAGTGGTTCTGTTTGTTTGGTCCAAGTGGTTGTGTTGTTTGGTTGCTGTCTTCCTATTCTGGCGAAGAATGAAATGACTGGTTTCTGGATGGGTGCATTGGCTATGGATACTTGGTTGGTTGGTTAGGCTGGGGGTGCATCATGTCTAGTGTCCGGCGGTGGTTTCACACCACTACTTGCGGGCCCACTGGTGGTTCTGTGACAGTGGACGCTCTCTGGGTGGATCTGGTTTTCCTGGTTTTCAGGTCTCGTGTATCTCAGGTTGTCTGCAGTGTTATCAAGTCTAGCCAGCCTGCGGTCTACCCTCGTGCCCATGATGATAGGAAGTATGCTGCTCTTGTGGCGGTTTTTGGCAACAAGTCTTGAGTTGACATTTGGGCGCGGGGTTTTGGAGGTCTAACAGGGTCCTGGCTGGTAGGTGAATGTTCCGATTCCTTCCCGATAGTGTGTGTGTCCTTGGGGCACCTGTCGCAGTCATCTGTCTCTTCCTTGTCTTGAAATCTTCGGTGCTGCCGCTTCCTGGGTAAGTCCCTCCTTTTACTTATCTTTGGGTAGTTAGCTTCTGGGAGCTGACAGGACTTCCCACAGAAAACCGGCGTTGAATGTAATGAAACCCCATTTTCTGGGTGAGCCCTCGGAGGCTCCCTGACACCAACCCTCTCTGGTCGGCGGTTTACATCGTTCAAAAACTGGAGTAGTGGGCTGCCAGCTATGGTGAGCTGGCTTCTCCCCCCCCCCCACGGGGGGCGGTTGTGCTAGTTGCATGAAGTGTTGATTGTTTGGTTTCTTTCTAGGTGAGTTATTGTGACCTTTTAGGATGTAGATTGCACAGGTTAATCAGACAGTGGTCAGTTTTAATTCACTTATCTTTCTGGGTCCTTCCCTGTTCGATGGCAATTATGATATATTTTAAATATAAAGTGCTCATAGGCCATTGCTTCCTTTGCCTCTGAGGGGACCAGGTTCTGGCTTGTGGTTCCCAGTAGGCATAAGGAATCCTGTGACTAATGACCCCAAACTAATGTAGCACATATTAGTTTGATTAGCTTCAGGGAGCGTCTGGGTCTCACCCAGTAAATGGCATTTCATTACATTCAATCGCTGTTTTTTTTTCTGAGCTGAGGAAACTGAACACAAACAAGAAGGTATATTTACCTTAACAAAATTATTTGTATCTGTGTTTAGTTTGCTTTTCAGATATGCAAATAGCTTTTGCAATAATGATCCTGAGTGGGATAGATTAATTATCAATGATACAGTTTTCTTTGTATACCTGTTTTTATATTTAATCTTGTACAGATTTTGTCCTCTTTGGTTATAGAAGGCACCTATTTAATTTGCATTAAAACTTAAACTAAATTGTAGGTAAATATTTTGGTTATAAAATCAAATAATTTTATAATCAAATAATTGACTGGATCCTTATAAGAACAAAAGAGTGGCATCATTTGCATCAGGATCAGAAACCCTATATCCAAGGGACATTCAGATGAGTAGGTTAGAAGGACTCGAATGACAATAATGATGCAATTTTGGGTAATATGATGTTGCTTAACTGAAGGTTTTAGCTCCTCTGGAGTAGTGAGGAGCTTTTTCATGTGCCCAGTATACATACACACTTCAACAGTCTCACATGCCCCCCCCCCCCCCTCCCTCCAAAAAAAAAGCAATTTAGTTTCTTCAATACAGTATATATTTGCATTATTATTTTTCACAGGAAATGGTTGGCAAGTTTAATGCTGATTTCTATTATTTAAACGGTTTAACCCTTGAGTCTCGAAAACGAAGAGAACACCTGAGCGAAGAGGATTTACAGAAGAATAAAGCCATAGTGGAAAGTTTCACAAAGGGAGGTGGAGCTCACTCTTTTGATGAAGTGAGTATTTACTTTTAAGATTTTAGAGTTACTTGAGGTGCTTATATATTATGAAAGACAAATAATAGCTTTTCCATTAAGATGCTCTTGGTAGCTAACAATGACTTGATACTTCAACTACTCAAGTCATCACAGGATGTTTTGGCACAGTGCTGAAATTGCCTGGAGGTGATTTTCCACAGCCTGAGGTATTTGATTTCACATCCCATTTCTAGGTGGTTTTGGTGATTGCCATATTGGGAAAAAATCCTGATCAGCCTAGTTTCCTTCCTGTGCATTAGTGTATAGGATGGAGGAGGCTATGTAATGTTTTCATATTAATTTGCAACTCAGCTGTATGAAGCCATGTTCTTACATAAGCAAAATAAAGTATCAAATGAAAGTAAGTGATGAGTGTGAGAGGCATGAAATTGTTATGTTTGTGTCACAATAATACATCCAAACACAACACTGCCCCAGTGCTCAACAATTGGCTCTCCCACTTCCATCAAAATTTAGTGGAGTGAGTCGGGGACTTGGCTTCCTGTTGGTGGATACATGAGATGCCATACATCTCTGGGCAGATCTTTTGTCTCTAGTGTCATTAGCTTCCTCTGAATATGGCACCATTTCTCAGTTGTGTGGCCTTCACCGTGAGCACGGTCGGCTGAGCAGACAGCACACGGGACTTGTGATCCTGTAGTCCTAGGTTCGATCCCAGGCGCCGGCGAGAAACAATGGGCAGAGTTTCTTTCACCCTATTCCCCTGTTACTTAGCAGTAAATTAGGTACCTGGGTGTTAGTCAGCTGTCACGGGCTGCTTCCTGGGGGTGGAGGCCTGGTCGAGAACCGGGCTGCGGGGACACTAAAAAAAAGCCCCGAAATCATCTCAAGATAACTTCAAGATAACCAAGCACATTTAATTTATACTATAACCTGTGGAACTTCCTGCATCTGATTTTTCCTGTTCCAGATGTTTCTCTTCATGTTGTCCAGACGGAGATCTTTGAGTGCTTTACAAATGTGAGCAAGAAAATTTACCTTCATCACTTCTCACACATAAGAGGATGACATAGTGTATGCAAATGATGTACAAAGCCATGCTTAAATTTAGTATTTAGGTCTTGAGGTCTACTTAAGGTGATGCTCATGTCATTCCCACTTAGCCTAATTAGAATAAGAAGTTGGAATTTGTTAAATTGAAAAGAAGTGATTCTGAAGTTGGAAAGTGATGCATATGCTCCTCGCACAATGTTCTTTATGTGTTCCTCTGGTGACAGTCTACTATCCAAAACCACCCCTAGGTCTTTAATTCATTTCCATATAATTTGTAAGTTGAGTGTGGTCCATTTTCTGCAATTCCACATTCCATAACATGGCATTTATTCACATTGAATTCCACTTGCCACAGGGTGCTCCAAGCATTTATTTTATCTAGATCGATTTGAAGGTCGTCTATGCACCCACCCACCAGTACAATCGGTACCACCACTATTCTGCCACTGCTTCATCTACCTGCAGTTTCTCTTAAAATCAATGCCTGACTAGATACTAATTTTATTAAGTAATTTATTTTATCTTGGTAAAATGTGTAATTTGAAGCTTAACCACCGTGTTGCGACAAAATATGACACCCCTGTGGTGCGCTGAAAATAAATTATTTCCAAATTTTTTTTTCTCTTATACAGTATTGTTAAAATGCAGTCTTTGATCGCTAGAAACTAAAATAAAATATTGGATGTGACATACTTTAGTCGTGATAGAGTTGAGAAGTTGAGCAAATTATGGCCGCTGAGCAAAGGCGTGCTCGGGGGTACTCTCGACCCCTCCATCCTGTGGGGCGGCAGTTGCCGCGAATATAAATTTTCACAATTATTTTGATGTTTCTCATTCGTTTCTTCTCTGGTTTTTTGCTGTAATATTATTCAAAGGTGTGTAATTTGTGGAATATATATATTTCAATGTGTGGAACATCGCTATGCTCAAAATTATGGGGCTCATATTTGTGAAATATATATTATATTCTACAATCACTCAAACAGTGTTTTTACTGTTATTACACTATATTCACACATTTTATATATATCACTCTACATGTTTGTGCACCATAATGAACCACAAAGTTTGTGTGTTGAGAGTTTATATACACAGAACAAGAATCCAAGGTCAATCTAGCGGCCGAGAGCCGAGTGTGGCAGGGGTTGCCCCAAGTACATTTGTATATAAATTATTTCAGTGTCTGTGAATGGTTTATATCTAGTTTTCTGGGGGGATCCCCGTTGGCTCCCTGGAGCTATCCAGTCTAATATGGCATTATTGAATAAGCTTTCTGGCATCAATCAAAGTGCATGGAGTTCTTGCCTACTGGGGACCACGAGCCAGAACCTGGTCCCCTCAGAGAGGCATAAGGAGCAATGGCCTATAGAAACCCCTGTGTGGGTGGGAACATTCTGTGTCTGCCATCAACTGGGTCTGGCACCCAGAAAGGTAGGCACCCCAAAATAAACCCCTATTTTGGTGGAAATATTGCTACCAAAAGCCAAACGAGTGTACAGAACTCCCCAAATGAAAATTAGCAATTGGGCCACCTTCCACAAGTCGCCTTGGGATCTACCTCTGCTATGTCTTGTACTGCTCGGTACTTGGCCACCCTTGGAGTCAGCTGGGGTTTCTGTTGCCCTTGTTACCTCTAGGTAGGAGGTAGTTTTCATCACTGGTAGGGGCGCAGGGTACTGCACAGCTAGTTATCACCTCTTATAGCGGCCGGCTCTGTTCTGCTTGGGTACGTTGTCCTCTTGTGTGGTTTTCTTTTTTTTTTGTTTTCCTGCCTGGTGGTGGGGGGGGGTCTGCCTTTGGTTGGTTGACCCCTATCTATCTTTGGGAGTCTTTATATAGACATTTGTGTTCTTGGTGGTACCCCCTGCTAGGCCCCCATGAGTGGACACATCCCTGGGTTCAGCTTTTAGAAGTTTGCTTGGTAGTTTTGGGCGCCGGTTCGCAGTACTCTGCCTGGGCTTCCCTTAGCGTGTTACCAAGGCTAAGGACCCTAGGAAACTCCGTGGGGGGCTCCGTTGTCCGATGGATATGACCCTTGAGTCATATCCATCTCGCTTTGTGCAAGGTTGATGGTCGCTCTGCCACCCTTGTCTCAGGGTGATAATCACCGGTTGTGCCTCCGCCATGCTGCCTGTAGGGTCAGTGATTATTTTGACCCCGAGTTGTGCGGCATTTGTTGTTTGTACGTGCTCCAGTTCACCAAAGCTACTGATCATGTTATGAGGGTGCAGACAGCAACTGCATTGCATGCTAGGTTCAGGTTGCTGCAATGTGATGGTCGCTTCCCCGAATGACCCGAGCCTGCCCTGTTTTGGTTTTAGGAACCCAGACTTGAGGGTGGGAGTGGCTTTGACTTTGGTTCTGTCTGTCCCACCATGTCCTTCCTCCCTTCTATTGATCATCCGGTACCTCTCCCCCTTGCTTCCAGCTCTGAAACGTCTGGACATTTCGGAGTCGGGGCAGGGTCTAGTTGGTGTTAAGACTCGGATGGTCTCGGGGAAGTTCCTTTCCGGGGTGGCGGCGGAGGCATTCGAGCCCGGTCCTCCAGCCAGAGTTTTTGGGTTTGACCAGTGGGCCCCTTCGTTCCTGCTGTTTCGGCTGCTCCTGCCTTTTCTTTAGAGGTAGGGGATTTTGAGGACTGCTTGGCCCCGGGTCCTCGGGGTGAGGTACCCGGGGCGGGGCAGGGATTGACTTGGGAGCCTTGGACTCCGTTGGATTCCGCCTGGGTTTTTGTACCCTCTGAGCGGGGCTTGGTGTTACAAAGAGTGGGGTTCTCTTTCGTTCCCTCCTTGTAAGAATTGGATTTGGCATCTACCCCTCCCCAGGTTCGGTTCCGTGACCCTGACGGTTCTTTGGTTCCATCCTTCCCGAGGTTTTCGGTTTCCCGCGTCCCATCCCATGTGGTGTTGGAAGCCCTTGTGTCTTACCTCCTGAGCGACTCAGATTCTGCTTTCGTGATGGATTCACATTCCTTCGAGTATGGATCTTCGTGTTATTCCTGGATTCGTTATGAAGTTCCGGAGTCATCCTGGTTAGCAGACTTCCCTCTCTTCTCTTTGGAGGCATGTCATATGTTCTGTCCATCACGCACGCTTGAGTGGCGAGAGGCTCAGACAGCATTTCAGGTTTTTCCTGGGGGGCAACTTGAGTATCTCAATGCGGGCTTGTTCGCCCCTGCCATTCCGCGGGATGTTGGGGTGATGCAGCTTCATGTACAGGTTCCTTCCCTTTCGGCTGCATTAGTCACTCAGGATTGCGTACATGTGGTCTACTGGCTTTGGCCTTGCGTTTCTTCTCCCTCCTTGTGCTGTCCTTGAACTGTCTTGTTGTGGATGTGGAGGAGCTTGGGGCTACCTCTGGGTCTTGTGCATTGCCCTCGGTGGCGTGTGGGTCATCTGCATTGTTGAAACTGTTCGCGCCTCTCCTGTAGGATGCGGTTTTGCGTTTGTTTGCTTCTCGACTCTTGTGTCGGCAGGCGATGCTCGCTTCTTCCTTGGAATCTGCTTGGGCACTGACTCTTAGGTTGTCTTCAGCTTTTTGTCTGTTGCTGTTTGCAGAGTCTGCGGTGGTGCAGTATCTGCGGGCAGCTTCAGCTAGTTGCCGTCATATGTCGAACTTGTTAGTCCTCCGGAGGGGCTCACAGGTCGTTCCAGGGCTCGGGATTCTTCCTGTCGTGGTAAGTCAGTGGTGCCAGGTTCAGGGCAGGTGTCGACTCTGGTACCGTCTGTTTGGTCGGCGTGGGGATCGCCCTGTGCGACGCTTAGGTTCTCGTAAGGTGTGTTCGACCTTTTCACAGTTTGTCGCATTGACAAGGTGGTGGGGGGGAGGCTCGCTCTGTTTGCTCGCACCTGGTTCCATGATTTGTGGGTCTTCAGGTTGTTTCATGAGGCCTGTGATGGCTCTGGGTGGCTCCTCTTCCTTTGGGGGATTTGGGCTAGCGTAGCAGGCCTCTTCTCCTGAGCTCCGTTGAGTCATCTTAGAGTGGGTTTGCTTAGGCGTGGTCGAAACGACCTCATCTCTCAGGTGGGTTTCTCGCCTGTTTCCGGTCCCAAAACTGGTCTGCGCAGACCTCCGGTTCATTCTGGACTTGTTCTGTCTGAACCTGTGGGTTTATTGCCCCTCGTTTCGGAAAACTACTTTGTCCAAGGTCCGTCTTATGTTGGAGCTGGACGCTTGGATAGTGTCCCTGGACTTCAAAGACGCATATTGGCACATCACGATTCATCCAAGGTTAAGGGACTGGCTCAGTTTTGTTGTGGGGCATCAGGGTTACTGCTTCGTTGCCTTCCATTTGGTTTGAATCTGGCGCCTCACATTTTCACATGCCTTACTCGGGTCGTGGTGGCCTACCTGCGTCTGTTAGGTGTTCGGGTTCTGGCCCACCTCGACGTCTGGCTGGTTTGGGCTTCCAGCCAGTCTGCGTGTCTACTCACCAAGGATTTGGTTCTCTCCTAGCTCGCCAGGTTTGGGTTCTTGGTGAATTGGCGGAAGTCCCATCTGGTTCCCTCTCAGGTTCGGTGTTGGCTGGGTCTTGTGTGGGACACTCGGACCACTTCCTTGTCTCTTTCTCTAGTGGTTCTGCTTCGCCTGCTTGCCCGCCTTTGTCTGTTCTGAGGGGCTCCCAGGTCACGAGGCAGTTGCTCCTCTTCTCTGTTCCAGGGTGTGCTTCTCTTGGGTCGTCTTCGGGGTGGTTCGGTCCAGCCAGCCTGCAGTCTTTCCCTGTGCCCATGACGTTCGTAGGTTGGCTACGCATTCCTTCATTGATGTTCCTGGGCCTTGTCGGGCCTGTGTGGCCTTGGGTTGGCGGTTGCAGCTTTTTGTCAACCCTTTGCATTGGGAAGTGAGCGACGACTGCCTCCTGGGTTAGGTTCCTCTTGTTTTCGTCTTTTGGTAAGTAGCTCCAGGGAGCTACTTACCTACTTTTTCTCCCAGAAAACCAGTGTTGAATGTAATAATATGCCATTTTCTTGGTGCGACTCTGAGGCTCCCTGGCAACCCTCCCTCCCTCCCTCCCTCCGGTCAGCGGTTTTTCGCGTGTTTTGATATCCAGCCTCAGAACTGGGGTCTTGGGTAGCCGGCACGAGGGGTCTGGGGCTTCCCCTTCCCCCTCTCGGGGAGGGGGGAGCTGTGCAGACAGCGGCGTGGCAAAGTGGTGATGTCATGCTTGTTAGCTTGTTTTTATTTTGGGAGTTCTGTCTACTAGTTCGGCTCTCAGTAGCAATTTCTTAACCAGAATAGGGGTTTGTTTTGGGATGCTTACCTTTCTGCGTGCCTGACCTGGTCGATGGCAGACATGAATGCTTCCAACCACATGGGGGTTTTGATAGGTCACTGCTCCTCGTTCCTCTCTGAGGGGACCAGGTTCTGGCTCGTGGTCCCCAGTAGGCCTAAAGAACTCCATACACATGACTGATGTCAAAGTCTGACATTAGCAATATCAGCCTAGATAGCTCCGGGAGCCTCTGTGTCTCACCCAGAAAATGGCATTTCATTACATTCACACTGGTGTTTTGAGGTTCTCCCTACTCTACTGCACTTTCTCCTAATCATTATCGAGTAGGCTTACCCACCCCTTCTCTTTCATGGCATTTGTAAGTTATCTTTTTAAATTGTTATTCCACGTTGTTTATAATTTTTATTTATTTCTAGTCAGTCCGCAGAGCTTCTTTAGAGCCTCCAAGCACAGAATCAGTATCTTGGTCAGCCTATATTGAAGCAGAAGCTGGAAACCCACCACCATTAGGTCGGACGCTTATTTGCAAAGAATCGTCTAAATCGTTTAAAGCGACTGTAGCAATGGTAAGTATATTTTATTTCTGTTAAAACTAAGAATGAAATGGGGCCTGGGTGGGGGATAGGTGAAAGATGTGAAATAGCATTAGTGAGCAAAAATGAAAATTATTGGCTAGTTATAAAAGTCAAACAGTAAAATTAAAAGCACTTTTCTGAACAAGTCTCAGAATTGAGCTGTGCATAGTCAAAACAGGTTGATAATATTCAACCGGAAATATGTGACCATTGTCCTGGGATGGATAACAAGAAATAAGATTGGGGTGACTGAGATGTAGTGTGATAATGCAAATCCACCACTGGATCCACTGGATCCACACAAGACATGATTCTATGAATGGACAAACCAAGCCCTCACTAAGACAAGCCCACACTGGAAAGCATTGCTCACATTGCTCAATATGTACTTTGGAGTATATATAAAGAGTATCTGCCATTTTGTTTTTTCACTCTATGTATTGGTGCAGGCACTAGGTTTTTGGCTCCAGTGTTTGGAGACCAATAACTGTCCGGAGAAAAACAACTTTATACTACAGAATTTTATTTATTTATTTTTTCAGAGTGAAGAATTTCCACTGACAGTAGAGATGCTTTTAAATGTCCTTGAGGTAATAGCCCCCTTCAAACATTTTGCAAAGTTGCGAGAATTTGTCCAGATGAAGCTCCCTCCAGGGTTCCCTGTTAAAATAGGTGAGTGGTATGATTTTTATGTTTCAGAGTATAAATATCTATACATATACAGTATACTGTAGGACAAATAGGTCCTTTATTTATCATTCTTAATGCAATTAGATTTAAAGGTATACTTTCTCTGCTGACCTCATTTTTTAATACCACAGAGTTTACAATAATGACGCCACAGGGCTGCCTCCACACATAAGCTCCTGTAAATTTCTGCTCCTACCAGGAATCATGATTGATATCTGGATTCCTCAAAGAGGCAAGGGAGACATGTGGGGATCAAGGATCAACTTCTTATCAAAATGAACCACGCAGAACCGAGTCAAAGGGCATCACAAAACAATCCACATTTCTATGAGAAAAGCTAAATATTGTACATAGGCAGTCTGACCAAAAGTTGGAGCAAGCAAACAACCTCTGGCCTAATTCTGCTAGGTCTTGAAAGAGTTTCACACAAGAGGCTTTTCTGGAAGTCAGAATGCACAGGGGTGACAAAAAGTAAAAAATCACGGATGAAAAATTTCATAACAAGCAGAAAGATGAGAGCAGCGATCAGAGGTAATGAGTCATACTTGGGGAATGTTATGTGAAGTTCTATGAGGCTTATACTAGCACCAGGTAACTTGCTTTGGTATCAGTGCTGCCACCTGGTGGCAGTTGAAGGATGGTGGCCACTGACCAGACTGGGTAAATGGCTGTTAGGAAGTTGAGAGTGGTACTTGGTGTTTCTTATGATGCTAAGTAACACTTGGAAGGGCTTGATTTGATTTCAATAACCCTTAATTGAAATAAAATCATTATGTATATACTGTATTATATATATATATATATATATGTCTTCTATAGTGTCCCCCCCAAATATCAGTAGGCTATGGGCTGGAACGAATTTTTAAAATATTCTTGCTGCACCAACATGAAATATTGACCCTCCCTGACTGTTCTGGACTCTATTCATGTGTCATTAGGATCTTGCCTTAAGTAACATCTAAGTGCCATGCTGAAAGTCACTTTTCAAAGATACCCAAAGCCTGACTTCATGTGAATTAATGGCAATATGAATAATACTTCTAGATCTCTCTGGTTCTTTTCATAGTAAGTTATTGACAAATTTTAATGTGTTTATCTGAATATAATTTCCTTGTTTCCTTTTACAGATATTCCAATCCTGCCAACAGTCTCAGCCAAGATTACATTCCAAGAATTTGCATTTCGAAGTGACATACCTGATACCTATTTTGAAGTTCCCTTAGGATATAGAGAAGATCCTAACAGGTAAGTGTAATTTTAAACAAATTTATAAAATATATAGATAATCATTATATATTATATAATCAAATTATATAAAGATAAAGTGTTGAGTGAACTCCCAGAACTCCTTCAAGCAGGTATCAAGCAGTGTAATGAAACACCCCTTGCCAAGAGTACTTTGATGGAGCACTCGTGCTTCTATGAGCACAAGTGGCAGGTGTTGCTGTGCATTAAATATATGATCATTACTTTTTTTTACTTTAGTTTTATCAACAGTTTTTCAGTTATATGCTGGGGTGTCAGTTTTGGTATTTGTACCACAGAATGGGCAGAATATCTGTACACACAGACATGCGAGTGTCACTAATATACCCACCATTTTATATGCTTATAACTAATAAGAATAGTATTTTGGTGTTATGTCACTGTACACACACATTATATTCAACTATTTATATGTTTATGCTCCATTATAAAACACTCACAAGTTCTGGAAGGTGTGATATTCTCAGAAGTAGATTACAGTGCACAGGGCAGCTCCACACTCTTTATACCAGAGGCAAATAAGGAGGTACTAAAGAGGGCCAAGAATGTGTACTCAAGAATCAGGATGGCAGTGGAGCAGCAATCTGAGTAGAGAATGACATTGCATCAAAAACCAAAAGCCAACCTAAGCCGTTGCACAGCCATATAGGGATGAAAACAATGGTACAAGAGCATGTGATAAGACTACGGGAACAGGGAGGAACACTCTTGGAGAATGACAAAGGAGTGTGTGAAGAAATCAACACAAGGTTCCAGAAGGTCTTGAAACCAGAATCAGATTAGGGTCCGAGTATGGGTGACAACAGATAACCAGAAACAACACTAGACATAATTGAAGTTTATGTAGGAGAGGTAAAATGGAATTGGATGTATCAAAAGCAGTAAGACCATACCAGATATCACCATTGTTGCTGAAGGAAGCTGCAGGGAGCTTGTGTTACTCAATAACAATAGTGTTCAACATTACACTAGAGATGGGAGAGCTACCAGAAATCTGGAAAAATCATGCTTAACAAACTTCAATGAATTCTAAGACAGGGTCATCAAAACAAGACAAGAAGAGAAAGGGATGGATAGATTGCATCTTTCTAGACTTCCATAAAGCTTTTGATATAGTTCCTCTCAAGAAACTAATATACAAAATAAAAACGAGCAGGGAACCTGAGGGGACCAGGTTCTGGCCGTGGTCCCCGGTAGGCCTAGAACTCCACCCACATCGACTGATGCCAAAAGTTAGGACTATTCCTGTTAGCCTGGATAACTCCTGAAAGCCTCAGGGGAGCCTCCGGGGAGCCTCCAGGATTCACCCAGAAAATGGCATTTCATTACATTCAACGCTGGTTTTTTTTCTGTTCGGTTACTGTGATGATTTTACCTTCAAACTCCCCTTGCACCTATTGAGCGGGATAGATTTTGCTTAGATGCTTTTGGATGGATTCAGTAGACACTCGTGATTTGATAGAACCTGGTGTGGTATCTGGGTTTGGAGAACTCCATGTAGGTTAGGGAGATACCGAGTGATCCACCAGAAATGCACTTTTAATTTTTATTCCTTTTAACACTTTCGCGTTTTGGGCGAGCGAGCGCCAGACCACCCTAAGGTGAACCGGGCATTCCACGGGAGTGTGCGGTTTTTAATTTTTATTTTCACTCTTTTTCACTTTGGTCACCTCAATTCTCGTCCTAGGTCTTTCATTTTGGTATCAATGTGTTCATAATAGAATTCCCTACAGGAATATGTGCATATAAAGTTCAAAAGTCCAGTGTACCACCCACACCAAACCGAGAAATTGGTCGCGAGTTACCCATGAGCGCACAAGAGCAATGAAATGAGTATGTTCTTTTCACTTTGGACACCTCAATTCTTGTCCTAGGTCTTTCATTTTGGTATCAATGTGTTCGCAGTAGAATTCCCTACAAGAGTATCTGCATATAATGTCCAAAACTGTGGCATGCCCCACCTGCAGCCAAGCCAAAAGCAGGCCGAACTTTTTAAATTTTTAACGCATTGACGCGTCATTCCCGCACATTCGTCTAATAAATTTTTGATGCCATGTTGCGTCGACCCTTAATTTAATGAATGCACTGTAATAATATTCGTGTCTTTGTTTCTGCCTAAAAGATCTGTATGAAAATCTTCACAATTTAATATTAAATGTCATCTCATTCACAGGTTTCCTGAATTATGACGGTATGAGGATCTAAGCCTCTTGAGTGTCTCCAGTGTAGAAGAGCATCAAGATCTACAAAGGCAGTGCTGTACAAGGCTAGATTGTGGTGGCCACTCCCGCTTGCTGTCACTTGTACCCTGTACCTCCCTCCCACCATTACTCCCATCTTCACATTGCTCATTGCAACTGTCATCCCCTGTTGTGCTGCAGGAGCACCCACACCAAAGGGTAAGTGGTTCATGCCAAGAGCCATCATTGTGCACCATAACCTCATTTCAGTCTGGTTCTAGTCACAATACAGCTGAAGAATCTAATGATTCAAAGACATTTTTGTGTAGCTCTGAGAAATCTGAGCTCTCAGGATCTTTTATAAACAATGCAAGTAAATATGTACTTGATAATCAGTGCAGCCATCCTATTGAAGGTAAATCTGAGTTCACAGCATCTTGGAAAAACAAGGCAAGCAAAAATGTACTTGACAATCAGTGCAGCCCTACTTCTGAATTCCCTCCATTTATGTTTAGTAAAGGTGATAATGAAATGTATGTAGTTGGTGCAGATGAAAAATGGAATGCACTGGAAGAAGCATTTTCTCTTGAAAAGTCAGTGGTTGTGCCACAGACAGAATATATAATAGTGGACATTCCATTACAGCTGGGGATGGGAAGTCCTTACTCCTCTTCATGCTTTATTCTTATTGATCGTTGATGCTTGAAAATGTGGGTTGTTACTGTCTTATTATCAGTATGAGTTGTGAAGTATATTGAACTCATTTTGGAACTTTAAGCCTAAATTGTTAACTTAATAAGGGTAAAATATCACTCCTACTGATTGGTAATTGAGTTTCATCCTTATTGAAAACAAGCACAAGGCTCAAAACAACTGATCTTGTCGACGCATATTTATTATACCATGACACAGTCTTTGTTGTAAGATCAGTTGGAGAAAATATAATGTCAATAACATCAAGATTATTTTTGCAGTAACTTGGTACAATTGTTAAGATGCACAGAAATATACTTTTAAACATACCACTAGAATAAAACAAAGTTCTCTAGTCTGATTAACCCATAAAGAATGACAATTTATTTGCAATATAATTATTCCTGAGACAGCTATGGTATGGAAATATGTTTGCTTAATTGGCAGCTGAAGCTCATTCAGGATACCAGAACTTTATTTATTCTTTAAATTTGTAAGAGCTACATTATTTGGATAAATGTTAACATTCTTTCATGTATAATTCTCCATAACTACAAATTTTCTATGAAATCCTGTGCTTTTGTACTTAGTACAAAATATTTTTAAATGAGAAAATATTTTACTCGAGTATGGATAAAAATAAAAAAGTCAGGTTGATGTATTACTATAGATGTTTTGTAGAATGTATTGGTACTAATTTTGATCTTATTAAGTGTGATTTACCCCTCTAATAGTTCCTTTATTTTTATCATAACTATTTTATATACAGTTCAATATTGGTGTTTTCTTAGAATTTGTAATAGTTAAGAGCAAAGTATTGTGTGTTCAACCAGCCGGGTTTTAAGTTGATATCTACTAAAAAGGATTACATGCCCATAGTTATTTTGGCACTATGAATTAAATAGATAACCAAACTGCTGCAGAAATTGTATAAGCAGCAAACTGCAATAAAAATGGTCACCATCAAAAACGAGGATAATTACCAACCTAATTTAGGCCAAATATAGTACTGTACACATAAACTTAAGTACCTGCACACAAACTTACACACCTGTACATACAAACTTACACACCTGCACACAAACTTACACACTTGTACATACAAACTTACACACCAGCATACACACTATTTTACATGTCTGTATGTTGGCCCAAGAGGGAGTCAGTTTGGTTATCTTTTTTGTCCTGTTTTCAATTTCATAGTTTTTCAGTTTGCAACATAACTTTCTTGAAGTAAGTTTGTTTTTCTGTTTAATTTGTACTTGTAAAATGGACTATGGAGATGTAATGTTTTAGCTGTTTAGTAACTTAAGGTCAGGTTGTTTCAGTAAGCATGCTATAACCAAACTAAAATGTTGAGAGTTAATGTGAATACTGAACACACTCGACATACTCCTAGACTATTCAAGAAAAGAAATAATGTGCCTCAAACTGTTATGTGTTTGTTTTTAAATTATGAATAAAATACATTGGTGTATGATTCAAGCAGTGATAGTCATTTAGAGGGTTATACCAAGTAAATCGGCTACCACAAAATATTATTTATTTAATTGAAAAGACAGAAAATGTAGGGGCTGAGGGTTGAATTCAGTACGTAATATTGACACCATCCACCTAGTGTTGCATCCCTGGGAGAAAATATATATATATATATGTATATGTACAAGTTGCATAAGCCTCCACCAGTACCAGGCTACTGCCAATATATGTAACTACAGTATTGGCTGTTAATTCCAGTTGACTTAAGGCATCAGTGTGCAGATACAGTAAGCTAGCTCCCATAACACCAGCCAGAAGTAGTAAATGTAAGCTGCTACACTTGGGGGAACTTAAAACATAGTCACATAAGAGCCATAACTCCTTGTCTGATATCATAGACTGTCTCTGCCACTGACACCACTGATTGGTCATCTCCAACCAGACAGCCAAGTGAGGTAATCACACAAACATGCAAATAAATTTGCTAAAGCAATTAAATATGCACAAAGTCAGGTATTGATGAGTCTAGGAACAACCATTGTACTACTTACACTGTTAGCTGCCAGTTATGTTACTCTACCGTCCATCCAAAGTGTAATAGTTTAACATCATATAAATACAAAAATATGAGCAATAATTTCTTCTACTGTGAAAAAATTACAGTATTCTTTCTTATGGGTAATGTAAATTATTATTTTCAATTGTGATAGATTTGCTTTCATTGATATATTTTTGAGTCTACAGTAAACTGAAAACATAAAACTACAAGAAATTATTATTGACACCCTGGTGTTAAAAAAGGCACTGATATCAACTGGAAATAAACTTGCACATAAAAAGGAACATGACATCAGCAAGTCTTTAAAAAAACTCAAATAATTGCATTCAAGGAGAAAAATCCCAAAACATGCAGGGAGTGGGACTGGATGGAAATGGTAAAATTAACAAAAGTGGAACAGATCAAGAACCTAACATCACATCAGGTACAGCAGGTGAACCAGCAAGGCAGCCTAGAATTTGAGATCTCAGTAGCACACTGAAGAATTAGATAGGTTCTGAAAATATGGACCCCTATGAATTTATCCTTTGACTAGATAATGTTTCCCATTTTATATTTAAGGCTTTTATAAATAGGGAAGATATAAATTGTTAAATACTGTGACTATAGACATCTACGAAAATACTACGATTTCTTCACTAAAGGCGACTGTCATTTCACGAATTCCAAACTTTATTTTGTATATCTTAAGTTCTTAAGTGTTTTCTGGGGTTCTGAGAGAATGTAAAGAAGAGCTTAGTGAGCCCCTGCCTTGCAGATTTGATAGATCATTGGAGTCCAGCAGAGTGCCGCTATCATGGCAAGTAAAAAATGTTGTGCCTTTTATTTAAAAGGGAGATAGATCAAATGTGTCAAACTATCCGAATACCTTAATGTCTATAGCTGGAAAATTTATAGAACCCATAATTGTAAAAACCATTCATCTGTAAGTTGAAAAAAAAAGATTAATAAAAAGACTCATAACATGGTTTTATTAAGGACTGATTTTGTAAACAAAAATTACTCCTATTCTTTTCTAGTGTATATGAAGCAGTTGACAATGGAAAGGATTGTAACATTGTATAGCCTTTATTTCTGTGCCTCACAAGAAACTCATTAGAAAGTTGGAGACACATGGTATTAGAGCGATTATTCTAAGTTGGATTAGGGCACAGTTATTACATAGAAAGCAGAATTAGCATAATTGAGACCACTGTTGTTTCTCGTGTAACAATTTACATTTAGGATTAAACTGCAACATTCGCAAATTTGTAGATGATTCAAAATTTGGAAAAGAAATGGATTCAGAAGAGAGAAATTCACTACAAGATGATCTAGTTATGACTTAATGTGGGACAAAAGATTAGCAGATGCAACTTAGCACTTTGAACTGTCCGGCATGTGCAGTCCAGCCCTCCCCAAGGTGGGCCTGGTGTTTCCCATGAGCGCGCACCCACACTAAAAGGTGTACGGTGGTACCTCCATTTTCTAATTTAATCCATTCCCAGAGATGGTTCAAAAACCGAAAATACGAAAACCAAAACAAATTTTCCCATAAGAAATAATGTAAATTGAAAAAAAAAATTAACTAACAAATACATTTTATACAGAAAACTATTCTTAGAGACCTTACCTTTATGGAGAACTCTTGTTGGCATATAAAAGACAATGAAGAGGGGGTGGGGGGAGGGAGGAGGAAAGGTGTTAGTGTTTGGAGGGGGAGTCCTCCTTTCATTATAACATCCGGCAGTGATGACATTTCTGGGGTACTCTCTCTCTTGGGTTTTGCAAGCATACCAATAGAACCTAGTTGTGGCTCACTGCTTGCTTGTCTTACGAAGAATCTTTCTAGACAGGAGGAGCCGGTCGGCCGAGCGGACAGCACACTGTACTTGTGATCCTGTGGTCCCGGGTTCGATCCAGGGCGCCGGCGAGAAACAATGGGCAGAGTTTCTTTCACCCTATGCCCCTCTGTTACCTAGCAGTAAAATAGGTACCTGGGTGTTAGTCAGCTGTCACGAACTGCTTCCTGGGGGTGGAGGCCTGGTCGAGGACCGGGCCGCGGGGACACTAAAGCCCCGAAATCATCTCAAGATAACCCCAAGATAGATACGTGTATGACTAACCTAGCGGGTGGTGATACGGGGACCGTGCCTCAGTTTATCAGTGCCCCCCATCTAGTGACAATTATGCCTGAATTCTTTATAAAGATTTTAATTTTTTTTTTTTTTTTTGGGGGGGGGGGGGGGGGGGTATTTTTGGGTATTTGAACATAAAAGTTATTATTATATATCTCACCATGGGTCCCAAGATAGCCAGTGGTAAGGTTGAAGCCAAGAAAACACATGTGAGAATGACCATAAAAGAAAAATAAGAGATCATTCGTAAACATGAAAATGGTACATGGGTTGTTGAACTAGCTAGGCTAGTTCACTAGTACTAGTGGCTAGTTGTACTAGTCTAGTCATTGACATAGACTAGTACAACAAATCTATGTCAAGGATATGAACTGCAATTGGTAAGAAAAAGGACATTATGAGTGCCACTGTGGCAAAAGGCATATCAACAATCATGAAACAAAGAACCCAAACACTTGAGGATGTTGAAAAGTTATTAATTTGGATACACATCAAGGGGTTAGCAGGTGATAGCATTTCAGAGGCCATCATTTGTGAGAAAGCAAGGCAATTGCATGAAGACCTTTTAAAGAAAACCCCTGGAACGAGTGCTGCAGATAGGAGAGAGTTTAAGGCGAGCAGGGGATGGTTAAAGAAATTTAAACAAAGAAGTGGTATTTATAGTGTTGAGGCATGGGGAGGCTGCCAGCTCAGATAAACCAGTGGCTGAAAGATTTGTTGACGAATTTAAAGATTTTGTAGAGAGTGAGGGATACCCACCACAACAAGTGTTTAATTGTGACAAGACAGGATTAGTCTGGAAAAGATTGTCTAAGAGGACATACATTACCCAGGAGGAGAAGTCATTGCCCGGACACAAGCCTATGAAAGATAGGTTTACTCTTGTGCTGTACTCACCTAGTTGTGCTTGTGGGGGTTGAGCTCTGGCTCTTTGGTCCCATTCTACACACCTCACCCTCAAAGAGTTCTGGAAAAAAACATTTTAACATTTGTACTGCTTTAAAACTCATTTACAAAGCCGGGCAAGAAGTGACTCTAAGAACCCTGATCTCTGGCTGGAGAAAATTTTGGCCTGATTGTGTTTCAAAACTAGACTTTGAGGGGTTTGAGCCTGGACCTGAAGTCCCTATTGTTGAGGAAATTGTCACTCTGGGCCAGAAATTGGGCTTGTAGTTAGATGGTGCTGATGTGGAGGAGTTGATGGAGGAACACAGCAAAGAACTGACCACCGAAGAGCTCCTAGCCCTTCACAATGAGCAGCATCAAGAGGCAGCTGAGGAAATTTCTTCAGGGGAGGAGGAGGCAGTACAGAATGTCCCTTCCTCAACAATTAGGAAGTGGTAAAGACTGTGGGAAGAAATGCAAACTTTTGTTGAAATGACTCACCCAGAGCTAGCCGTAGCAGACCGTTGCATCAACCTTTTCAATGACAATGTGATGCCTCACTATAGACAAGTGTTACAACGAAGGGAAAAACAATCCCCAATGGATTGATTTTTAGTGAGAAAATCAAGCAGTGAGCCACAAGCAGGTCCTAGTGGTATGCAGGCAAAACATGCCAGAGTGTGTACCCCCCAAAGAAGTCATCACTGCCTGATGTTATAATGGAAGGGGACTCCCCTTCCAAACACTAACACCTCTCCTTCTCCCTCCCTCCCTCACCATCTTCCATATGCCAACAAGTCATCAATAAAGGTAAGTAATAACTTGTACATACTTTAGTACTAAAGGTTTGGGTGAATTAGGTATAAAATTTACTTTGAAGTTAATATTTTTGGAAGTGTGCAATGGATTAATTAAATTTACATTATTTCTTATGGGAAAATTCGCTTCGGTTTATGAATTTTTGGGTTGTGAACCGTCTCTGGGAACAGATTAAATTCATAGGCTGAGGTACCACTGTACTGTAATATGTAATGTGACTGGCGTATACAAGTGTGGAGAGTGTTATAAAGCATGAAACCAGTCACTTATCAAAGTACTGTACTGATCTCAGGAGACATTGGGTGAGAGGCTTGAGTTGTGGTAGGTAAGTGTGTGAAGGGTAGGTGGGTGCTGGACTCCTAGTTGACTAGCACTGCCATCTGGTGACAGGACGGTGAACCAGCAAGGTGGTATTTTGGCTATTTATGAATGTTTTGATTGGTATTTGTTCAAACCCTTTTGCATTTTTTGTCATGATTTTCCTTCTGTTGAGAGAGGCAGGATTCTGGTTCCTGTTCCTAGTAGGTCATGATATAGTCATCAACACCAGGTGAGATGGTATTGGCTGTAGGGTATTAGTGCATGAGTTTTGAGAGAGCTACTGAGGGGGGCTATCCCAGAAATAATAATAGTAATTCACTTAACACTACTCACATTTAAGCATAAATAATTAAACTCCTCGTTAACAGGTTTTTCTTGGTGACAAAGTTAAAAGCACTATCTGGAACAGGGGAAACACATAAGGTGAATGTCTCAGAGTTGCAACATAAACTCTCAAAAGACAACTCTGGGTGAATTGGGAATCACCAAATGATGCTAGGGAAGGAAACCTTAAACAAAAGCAAGGGTGATTAAAAAAAACTGGGGACACAATGTGGTTGACAAATACAATTATGGAATCATAAAAAGAATACTAATAGCAACAAAGGCCCTTATATGTCTAACTTATCAGGAAAGCCAAAAACATGACTTTTTCATATAAGCTGGATATACAGCTACAGCAAAGGCATCAATTTATCAAGCATTTTGGTGACGGCTGTGCTGTTGGCAGGCACAGTACTTGGGAGGTTGAGCAAGGGTGGCCAGTGGCCAACTATCTGTTTTCACATTGTTTTGTTTATTTTCTCTGTGGGCATTGGTTTGGTGGCACTTTACTTTCAGGATGAATAACTTTGGTGGTACCCGTAGATCAATTTATGATCCCTTCATATTTATTTCACCTCTTTTTGAAGGAACCAAGTTATGGTCCTGTGTTCTTGCTAGGTCTATGCAAATTGTCAAAGACTTGATTGATGACCAAACCATACAAGAGAAAGTGGAGAAATAACAACATGTCAGTCCAGTCTGGACCATTATCAAGTCGTGTGACTTGATAATGGTCCAGGACGGACCGAAACGTTGTCATTTCTTCACCTTGTGGTGTGTGGTTTGGTCATCATATCTTCAGCAACGTTATTGTGGCTCATCATCTGCAGGAGTTGATTGTTGCTACAAGCCCATTTGAATCAGAATCTTTAGCTCAGGGAATCCACTGAGAGTTCCCAGCACAGAATTTATCTTTTCCACTCAGAGTACAGTTGTAGACGGATGAAATAAAAATGAGAGGGGTAGTGTATACAATAGCATTGAATGCTTAAAACTTTGTGATAAATGTTATAGGGAAGATGGAACTCCATGAACATATATCAGGGCCTTTTATTACATTATGGTAATTACTCACTCAGTGTACTCACACTTAAACATATTTGTAACAGACTTGTTCCACTGCAAACAGATTTATGTTGCATCCTATGTTTGCTATTTTTGTCTACTTTATGCTTAGCATTATTATATTTATTCAATAGATAGAACACTTTGCTCACATTTTAATACCAAAAGCACTTGACAAAAAACTTTGTTTTAAATATTTTGTTGAAAATATTTTAAATTTCGTGCCACCAAATTTTGGTCAAGTAAATGCACGAGCTTGGTCTCCTGTCCTGGCATTATTATTATTATTGTTTCCTTTGTTGGTCTCTACACTGGTTCTGTTTTGTATACTTAATATTGTTGAGTTCCTGACACACACCTTGTTTCCTGTTGTGAGGTTGTTCCTATCTCTCTTTCACACAATCTCTTACAGTTGTTTTCCACCACATGTGACCATACAACCACTT